TCACACAACAATAGTCTACGCTTATTTATCCGAATAAGCCATGCCATTGAAATCAAAGTATTCACATAATTTCTCTTAAATAGATTCATATTTCTTTCAATGAAAACGAAAACAACAACAACAACAACATTTCAGGGTATATGTTGGATGTTTTTGTGTTCGCTCGTTGGATATTGTATCGCTTTTATAGCTCCAATAAAATTCCTTATGTTAATGGTGTGGCATATATCCGTTACATTGTTAAGACATATTTCGCCTACAATGTTATTAATATTCTTCTACCCGCATTGGCTCCTCGTCATTCCGCCAGAATGGCATACGTGAGTGTGTCCTTGCCAAATTGCTGTGCATATCCTTCTTTCAGCATAGGCACGTTTCTTTTTTTACACAACTATGATGCTTACATGGCGGTCCTCATATTACAAGCATAATATTATTGTCTGAGGATACCATTCTTTTTTTTTTTTTGGTTATTTTTTTTTTCTTTATCATCTCAATTTTCATTGTCCTTGTCATTCATCTTCTGCCAAAAAAAAATCTTTTTTTCTCGGAAATAATTGTAATTATATTTATGCTTAATACACAAAAATGCATATAGCCAACTGTCTGACATCCCTTCCAATCGACCCACCAACCAAACAGCCTGTCAGACAGGCGTCTGATATTCCAGAGCAGGAGTATCAAAATGAAAATTTCATTATGTTTATTTATAATGACATGTCAAGTGTTTCATTTCACCACAAACTCTGCATTAAAATGGTGAATGCTGGCTGATACAATTCTGGTTGAGGCCTGTGTAAACAAAGGACATGATGTCCTTTGTATGAAATTATGAAAAGAAATGTTTGTAGGTGGCAGGAGATAAATATTATAAATTATAAATGTGCGCGAGTAATGGAGAGAGAGATAGAGGAGTGAGCGTGTATTTGTACGACGTGCTCAATATTTGTCTAAATAGCCTTAAGTGGCCCGCAATTGAGGTTTGAGTGTAGTCCATTGACATGATGGCGATGTATTAATATATTAAATTAGCAAAACAAAAATTGGTGCGGTTAAGAGGCAGCAAATTTATTAGATAATAATTTTCAATTATTTTTATGCGGTTTGCATGTCAATCACTTTGCCGAAACCACTTAATTTATAATCTTGTCATAATTATTGTCCATCCCTTACTCGATGTAAAATTATTCGGAATAATTAAAAATGTTTTAATTTAAGCTTGACTATGAAACACACGTTATCCTTAAAAAAAAAATAAATTCCAACACTGTTCAGGATGGAAAAAACATATATTATGAATACCTAATGTGGAACATTTGTATTCATTAAAAATATTCGTTACTCATTCGAACGTTTTTGAAAATATTGCTGAATGATTTGTTGGATAAGATTTTGGGAAAAATGTCATTATTGGCACAAGTGCTATGTTAATAACATCTAAGAACGTTATGTCACTCGTATCTCAACAGACCTACTTTATTCGCTCTAATATCCATTTTGATATATTGAAATATTTTACAAGGTCTACTTTTGGGGAAGTAGGTGACCCACAATTTAAATATTTTCTGCTACTCTTCATAAAAAAGCTGCGTTTATGTATAATTCGGCCGGGCCGAACTTTTAATAAATGTTAATGTTCCTCTTTAAACTACAAATACCAGTAAGACCGTTTAGATCATGCAGTTAAACTATTAAAAAAACAAGTAAAAAAGCAGTAAGTTCGGCCGGACCGAACTTTGAATACCCTCCACCATTTGGAACGAAATAGAAATTTTTCAAAAAAATAAAATCCATTAAATTTTATTTTAAATCTTTACAATATCAAATATAGGAAGGTGCCGATATATGGGGGTATATATGATATTGTGGACCTATTAAAGCAAATCTATGTCTGGGTGTAAAGTACTCACAAGGAACTCCTTGTGTGGATTTTCAGATAATTCCATTGGAAAAAGTGGCTAAAATCATCAAACTACTGAATATCGGGGGGTAACGTTATATGGGGGATATACGATATTACGGACCTATATAGATAATTCTCTGCTGAGGTATAAAGTACCCACAAGGAACTCCTAGTGTGGATTTTCAGACAATTTCGTTGAAAAATGTGGGTAAAATCATCAAAATACCGAATATCGGGGGGTACAAAAGGGACTCCTTTTGTGGAATTTCAGACACTTCCATTGAAAAATGTGGCTAAAATCGTCAAAATACCGAATATTGGGGGTACTGTTATATGGGGGGTATACGATATGGTGGACCGATATAGTCCATCTTCGAACTTGACCTGCCTGCAGACAAAAGACAGATCTGTGCAAAATTTTAGCTTTCTATCTTTATTCGTTTTGACTGTATCGTAATTACAACAGACGGACAGACGGACGGGAAGGGCTAAATCGTCTTAGACTTTTACGCTGATCAAGAATATATATACTTTGTTGGGTCTAAAATGATTATTTCGATGAGTTTTACAAACGGAATGACGAACTTAATATACCCTCCATACTATGTATGGTGGAGGGTATAAAAAACAATGTGAGTGAGTCTATTAGCGGGGGCCATTACCCATTTAGAAAACTATACTACAAGGATTGTTGTCTGTTGCAAGTCTTAAATGCCAAAATTGAAAAAAATAACGTGGGTAAATGTGACAAGGATTATCAAAATACCGAATATCAATGGGTACCATTATATGGCGGCTATTCATATTCAATGTTCTGCCACCGGAGCTAGAACCCAATTTTTAGACAAATCCCTAAAAAATGTGAAAAAAATCATCAAAATACCGAATATCGGGAGGTACCGTTATAAGGGGGCTATACGAAAATATTGTCCTATACATACAATGTTCCGCTTCCGGAACTAGAACCCATTATGACCTACATATACCAATTTTTTGGAAAATGTTTTGAAAATCATCAAAATACCGAATATCAGTATTTATCATTTTCAACGCCAACCTTCCTAGACACAATACAAATTGTTCTGCCAAATGTTGAAGCTCTACGTCAAATAATGTGGGCTGTATCGTGATTTCAGACAGACGGACATTGTTAAATTGACTTAGAATTTTATGGTGATCATGAAAATATATACTTTATAGGTCTATGACGAATATTTAGCGATACTGCAAACGGAATGACCAAGTTAATTTACCCTCCATTTCAAGGTGGAGGGTATAAAAACTCATGTCTTAATTAGTAATTAATTTTTTAAATTTTAAATCTTCATTTTTCACAACACTTTTTTAGAACAGCTCTCCAAGGATACCCAGAGCAAGAAATCGCGTTTTTTACAGCATTTCTAGGAAACATTGAGTATCAATCGGTGATTTTTACAGCGGAGATTTTATTGGATTAAAAAGAGTAACAATGAATCTGTGATTTTTTAGGAGCTTTCAGGCTCTTTATACAATTTTATTTTCTTCACAAGGACTATTAGGAATATAATATTTATTCTCATACTCGAGAATTTTTAGGCAAATATGTCGTGGATTTTTTAATTTTTTTAAATGGCTATTCAGCTTTCCTGATCGAAAATTTATAAAGAACATATTTCCATGAACTTTCAAAATCACAGTATAGGGTAAGTGTGCCTAAGTTCGGCATGTCCCAGTAGTCGGCACTTTTTATTTTTAAGCCCAAATAAATGCAACTATTATAACTAAATATATTTTGTTTACTTCAAATATATTGTAAGCTATCTTTGTGCACAATTTCGCTAAGAAAAGATGATTTATTCTAATAAAAATTAAATTTTTGTCTGTAAAGGTACTCAACAATTCATATTCTTAAGAAAAGTACAACAAAGACGTCGAATCAGTTTAACTAAACAAAAATATTACATTTTAATGAATTAATTTATTGTTAATATTAATTATTCTTACAAAAAAATTGGTATGCCGACTGTTGGAAAATGTCATACCGACAATTGGCAAGTGGTGCCGACTACTGGCAAAAAAGCATTGTTTTAATAAAACTACAAATTTTTGAAATTTAATAAAAAGTTATTAAAACTTTATTTATTATTGCAAAAACTATACAAAATTTCGAATCTGAATAAATTAACTTTGTAATAATTGAAATGTTCCACTCAGAATGGTGAGCGATTAAAAACGCGAAAATCCTAAAAGTGCCGACTACTGGTACACTTACCCTACATCGATTTTATAAATATTTTTTTCTGTTAGAAATAATTGTTGTGAATAATAACACCTTCAGTCATGGATTTCTCGAAATTACTTTTTTATGGATTGTCAGCCTTCAATCGTACATTTTTTTAAATCGCCATTCGTGCAATTTTCATATTTATTTTTTGAATGCTATCGTTTTTAATACTTTTCTGAAGGACTTAAATTATTTTTTAAGATATATCATCATGAATTTTCTAAAATATTTTTTTTGAAGCTGTATTTATATTTTTTATATATTTTTTAATGAGTAAGAACCATAAAATATTTACTGTTGGCTTTTTTAGGGACTGTCGAATTTCATTTTTATTTTATTATTTATTTATTTACTTATTATTGTTATTATTATTATTATTATTTTTTTTTTTTTTTTTTTTTTTTGAGCAATAGAAAGACTCCCATTCAGCTGATCTAGAGAGACTCCCTGTCAAGAGACTCTCTGTGAGCTCGTCTAGAGAGACTCCCTATCAGCTTGTCTAGAGAGACTCCCTGTCATGTTGCCTAGAAAGACCCCCTGTCAGCTCGTTTAGAGAGACTTTCTTAAATTAGTCCATAGAAACTCCCTGTCGGTTCGTTTATAGAGACTACCACATCTATTGAGACTATCCTCAGCTAGTTTATAACAACTACCTCGTTTTGAAAGACAGACTCCCTTTCAGCTCGCTTATAGAAACTTTATGTTGCATATATCATTCTGTTGCGAATTTATAAACATTTTAAAGAAAATGTATCTTATCTCACTTTAAAATCTCTTTTCCAATTGTAAAAATAATACTCATGTTATTTTCACTCCTCTTGCATTTATTTACAGGTAATTATTTGTGGAGAAACAATTTCCGTTCAGATGGCAATTTTCAGCAGATGTTTGATTATGACAGCAACTTAACATGTGGTAAGTTCCCCCCAATTTAATTGTGCTGAAAAAAAAAACAAATACAACACAAACACCATGAAAAGCTGTGACAATCAAATAAATGCCCCAACAATATTCTCGACTAATGACCATTTAAATTGTATCAGATTTTAGGTTTTTTATGTCGCTGCTGTTGCAGCCACTGTCAGTGCCATTGTGTTTTATTGATAAACACAAACAATGCCACAAAATCCTATAAAATTCCCCGCCAAACAAAGTTAAACGCATTGCATTCGTAATGATTTACAATCATATAAAATTTCAATTGCCATCAGTTAGGTTTGATTTAAATGATAGACAGTGTTGCCAAATTAAAGCGAAAAATTGCGAGCAAAAATGTTCGCACTATTTTTTTTTTTTTTTTTTTTTTTTGAAAATGAAATTTAACGTGTTAAAAAGTATCAGTCATTTTTGCGGACAGATGTATACCCTCAGCCAATGTTGGATTATTTAAATATAATTCAACTTCTGTTATGACTATTCAGCTTGATGACCTCATATGGAGTTGGTTTGGAAGGAATGGACCAATTTTGTCCATTTCGTATCGGACTTAAATAAACATGTTATAAATATTGTGACGTGCCAGGCTTATCGACTATATCGACTATTTCCTTCACTTTATATGAGGTATGTGATAATTTTTAGAAAATGTTAAAAAATGCCTGAGGTACCAGATATAGTCGACCGAAGTATTTCATTTACACACTTCATACAATTCTGATTAAAATATTGGTTTGTGCGAAATTAGAAGAAAATAGAAATGTTCGATTTCCAATTTTATGCAAAATCGTAATATCCATATTCACCTCCGGTTTCTGATTGAGTGAAATATTTGGATATAGCAAATATTGAAAATTGTGACCCTTTGTGGTATCTTGTGTTAGCAAAAATGCTCCTATATGTGAAATTTGATTAGTTGTATATGAGTTGGATGTATATTTCGCTTCCTTTGATCGTTTTGTTTTTTAAAATCTTGAACCTTATGTGGGAGAGGTACCAGATGAAATGGTTCGATCTCTGCCATATTTATAACAGATCTTGTGTTGATGGAAATATTGACATATAGCAAATCTGAATGGAATCGGATCGGATATTCAAAATGTTGGCTCTTTGTGAGGGAAGTACCAGAAGGAGTGGACTGCTATAACCCATCTTTGCAGTAGATCTTGTGTTAATAGAAATAATGGGATGTGTGAAATATGAAGAGGACCGGAGTTTATAATCGTTTTGGTTATTCAAAACTTTGACACTTTTTGGGGGGATTTTGGGGGGACCAGAAGGACTAGTCCGATCTCAGCCATGTAACAGATCTTGTGTTGATAGACATATTTAGGTGTGCTTCATGGACTGATATATTCCATCTTCACACCAGGCTTTGGGTTATTACAGATATTGTGGGGTTTGTAGTGTGAAAACCATAGAATGTTTACATCACATTTTATATTAGCTATAATTATTCAAAATATTGACCCTTTGTGGGGGATGTACTTAATATTGTCCATTTTCGCACCTGCTCTAGCACTGATGGAAATATTAGGATGTGCAAAGTCGACTCCAAGTGTCCTGTTACGGATTTGATCCAAAGAGATCTAGGGTCGTAAACCGTTATTTCGACGAGATACTTTTGCCCATATCAAATGATATATACCTCTTCTAGCCATGTGGCTGAGAATATAAAAAGTAACAAAAGCAGCTAAGTTCGGCCGTGCCAAACAATTAATACCCTCCACCATTTGGAAGTAAATTGAAAATTTTCAAAGAAACTTCCGAAAACTACCACTTGAATGAAAACTGTTATATGGACACTATACGAAGACGAGGACCTGCTAACGAAAAATTCTTGTCATAGGCTGTAGTACCCATTACGAACTTCAAATACCAAATTTGAAACAACTCCGGTGAATAATGTCGATAAAATCATCAAAATACCAAACATCGGGATGAACCGTTATCTGGGGGATATACGAAAACGTGAACCTACACACGATTTTTGTCATGGGATGTAGTACCCATTACGAACTTTGTTACAATTCCGGTGAATATCGCACTAATCATAAAAATACCGAGTACCGGTACCGTCATATGGGAGCCATACGGAGACGTGGACCTGCATACAAAAATTTTTGTCATAGGATGTAGCACCCATTATGAACTTCGAATTCGAAATTTGAAATAATTTCTGTAAATAATGTCGCTAAAATCATGAAAATACCGAATATCGGGAGATATCGTTATATAGGGTCTACACGAAGACGTTGAAGTAACCATTAAGATCTCCCAATACGAAATTTGAAATTCCGGTGATTAATGTTGCTGAAATCATGAAAATACCGAATATCGGGAGGTACCGTTATATGGGAGCTATACGAAATGGTGGTCCGACATGGCCCATTTACGAATTTAACCTGCCTAGTGGTAAACTATGCATGTGTGCAAAATTTTAGCCTTCTATCTCAATTCGTTCGAGGGATAGCGTGATTACAACAAACGGACTGACAAACAGACGGACAGACACACAGACATACAGACGATCGCTAGATTGTCTTAGAATTTTACGCTGATCCAGAATATATACGCTTTGTAGGGCCTATTAATAAATATTTTGAGGAGCTACAAATGAAATGACAAAGTTAATATGCCCTCCATAGAATGGTGGAGGGTATAAAAATGACTTATTTAAAAAAAAAAAACTTCACATCATTGAACAGATTTTGGCTCAAATGCTATGAAAGAATCCTTAGAATACTCGTTTTATACCCTATAACACATTTACTAATTAAGCATTTTTACAACTTCTACGAACTTAAAAATTATTTATTATTCTTTCAAAAATGTGCGATAACTTCTCCTCAAAAATTGAACCAAAAATGGTAACATCATTATTTCGTTTCACCTTTTAATTTTTGAGTTAATTTGTCTATATATATTTGGCTATAAAAACTTCTGATCATCCGTCATGTGATTTGCTGGGACATTCTTGTATATTTTTAGTCATTACACCCAGTTGGAAATTCTATGGAATTGGAAACTTTTTTGAATTCCTTTCTGGGTTCTGGATCCTTTCTTGGAATCTAATTATACCCTACACCACAAGGTGGTCAGGGTATTATGTCTTTGTGCATTTGTTTGTAACAGGCAAAAGGAAACGAGATAGACCCATAGTTCCTTTTGATGATCTGCATAGAATCACATTCTGAGTCGATTTATGCATGTCCGTCCGACCGTCTGTCCATGTATTTTTGTAAACAAAGTAAAGGTCGCATTTATCGCCCGATCCAGATGAAATTTTGTACATATCATTTGTTTGGTCCAAGGACGAACCCTATTGAAATTGGAGATAATCGGTCAAAATTTAGATATAGCTCCCATATATATCTTCGTCCGATTTGCCTTTTATTGTGCACCAAACGTATAATATCAGCCTGAATTGTATGGAATTTTGCATATACACCCAAATTAGGCCTGAAAATAAGTATGCCAAATTTGATCGAAATCGGTTCAGATATAGCCATAGCTCCCATATATATTGTTCATCCGATTTGTTATTTTGCCCTCCGCAGCCGTAATATGCACTCTGCAACAACAATATTTGGGGAAATTCATCAAATACATCTCAGAAATACATTTGCTAAATTTTATCGAGATTTTATCGGTTCAGATTTGGATATAGCTCCCATATATAACTTCGTCCGATTTACCTTGGATTGTGCACCAAACGTCTAATATTTGTCTAAATGATACGGAATTTGGCACTTACGACCGAATTGAGTGTAGAAGCTAGTATGTCAAATTTGGTGAAGATCGGTTCAGATATAGCTATAGCTTCCATATATATTATACATCCGATTTGTTATATTTGTTACCCACAACCGTAATATGCACTCCGTAACAACGATATTCAGGAAAATATATCAAATACAGCTCAGAAATATCTTTGCTAAATTTTATCGAGATCGGTTCAGATTTGGATATAGCTCCTATATATATATATCTTTTTCCGATTTCAAATTAATTGTGCACCAAATGGGCAATACATTTCCGAATTTAAAAGATACAAATGCCTCGGCATATTTAGTCCTTTGAACTTTAAATTATAATTATAATCATAGCATGTATGATTGAATACTCCCATAAAAACTTTTAATTGTTATGCGGAGCTAAATTAGCAAAGTGGTGTAGGGTATCATAAAGTCGGCCCCGCCCTACTTTAAGGCTTTCTTTACTGGTTTTCTATTATACACATTTTGCAACAAATTTTCCTTCAAAATTTGACCAAAACGGTAACATCATTATTTCCTATCACCTTTTAATTTTTGGAGTTCATTTGTCCATAACTAGATAGATTGGATAGATATGAGGCGGCGTTTTTCCTCTGAAATGGAAACAAACAAACAATCAACAACCAAACCAAAACGGACATATCCGTTTGTCCATTTGCTGTATGCTTCGTTTCATTCCTCTTATTTTTTTTATTTATTTATGTTTTTTATTTCTTCCTTTTGCCGACCGGCTTACAGCCAGCCCACAAAATAAAACAAATTGAATTTAATTGACTGCAAAAACTATGAAAAACTACAATCTGTACATTTGTTGCAGTAGCCGTCGCTTTGCCGCTGAAATGGTGCTGCAGTGGCAGTTGTATTTCTATTCGGAGGCATTTGCAACTGCAACTATTTTTTCTTCTTGTTGTTGTTGTTGCAACGTCACAAATAATTTGAACGCGGCGTACTCATTGTGAAAGCAAATTTATACAACTTTAGTTAGACTTTACTTGGCAAATATAACACTTGTACGAACGAGCGTAACCATTCGTCCGACCGACCGTCTGACCGTCCAGCCAGTAATGGCGGCGGACATTTCTATTTTTATGTTGAATATTTTATTGAATTTGTATGAAAAAAAAAAGAATCGAACAACAAAAAATCCAACAATTTATCGTATCACAAGCGTTGAAACGGTTGAAATATTTAGAGCAATAA